TATATATATATATATATATATATATATATATATATATACGAAGTTTAAATATTTTAGACATTTGAAGTGTTTTAAGTAAAGGTAGTTCATGATCAGCCTGCTCAGTGGGGCAGTGGGTAGCACTGCTGCCTTGCAGCAAGAAAGTTCCGGGTTCCCAGCCTCATGTCTTTCTACATGGAGTACTGGGTACTCCAGCTGCCACCCACAGTCCAAAAACATGACAGTTAGGTTGATTGGCTTCTCTTAATTTTCCTTGGGTGTGAGAGTGTGTGTGAATGTCTGTCCTGTTTGTCTCTGTGTTGCCCTGCGATGGACTGGTGACCTGTCCAGGGTGTACCCCGCCTCTAGCGCATAGACAGCTGTTAGGCACCAGCACCCCTCGTGACCCCAGCAGGAATGGAGCGTGACGTAAAATGGATGGATGGTCCATGATCTAAACCTAATGCTCCCATACTAAATCATGGTGCACTTTGCCGCAGGCTGTCAGTGATTCAGCACCAAGGACAGCTCTACAGCTTGCTCAGTAAATTGTCAAGGGTTTGTTGTGGTTTTGGACCCAAATGCAGAGGCTGAAAGGCAGGGAGGAGTTCTTGCAGTTTAAAAAAAAAATTAATTAACACAGGTAACAGAGGCAGGAATGCAAAAAAATCCAACTTAAAATGTAGAACAAACCAGAACCATGGAGACATCAGGGTAAATAGCATGTGGAATCAGGGAAAGGCGAGGAGAGACAAAGTAAGACGAGGAACCAGCGCTGAGGAACTGCACAGGGAGAGTATTTATGGTAGACTTAACAAAGAGAAGACTAAGGAGCAGTCAAGGAAGGAGCTAGGGAAAAGGAGACAAACACAAGAGGGCAACAGAGGGCAACAAAATAAAAACCTTAACTCAATATATCCAGAAAGTACAACAAAATAGGAATAAAACTAGAAAACTTGGAGCAAAGTAAAATATAACCGAACCAATGCCGTGACATAATTTGTTTAAACTTGTTTACAACTTGTCTATAATGTTAACCTTCTAGTTTTTTTTATGAAATATTGAAGGATGTGACGTCCTCTGGCTCCCACCTGAGTCACCACTTTAAGAACCTTGACTGCAAATTCAACTGTAAGTTGAATGGCTTGAGACTAAAACATTTGCCTTGCAGTTTTTGCCAATAACCTTCGGTTTTGTTGGACTGGGTGAAGAATATCTTGAAACTTTGCTTTCCGATTTTTTTTACACTGTACTTTTTTTATTGAGATCTAGGTTTGGATTTTGATTGACCTATTCATTGTTTTCAGTGTAGCCATTTTATATCTTAATTGGTTTCAACACGAATGTTGGCCTAGTATAAAATGACCCGCCATTGCAAGTTCAAGTCTTTTGAAAGAGGTTTCTACATGCTTTTTTCCATCTTTATTTAGTTCTTTCTGTCTTCCAATGAACTCTGACTGACTTCACTGTCTCCAATGAGGGATATACCCTCAGCAGAATGCTGCCACCACTGTTCCGCTCTTGAAACAATGGATTTCCTCTTTCCATTGCATTTAACCCCCCCCCCCCCCAAAACAACAACGACAACAAAAAAGATTTATTGAATGTGTAATAATAATTATTCTGTGCTGATATATTCTCCAACTTTAGACCTCTGGACCTCGGGACATTTAGGTCCGTCAGATTTAGCCAATCACTGTGTCTTGTTTAGATTGCAGACATATCACCCTCATGGAAGATGCTTTTGTAACATTTTCTACAATTTAAACATAATCTTATCCCTGACCTGTTTGTTTATCCGTGTTGTCTAAGAAGCATCTCTCTTCACAAAATACCAGGACTTTTCATATGATTAATTCACACACAAGTTAATTCTGTTTACTACTTAGGGGACTTCTGAAGATATTTTCTTTTTGCAGGGGTTATATTCAGGGCCATCAGCAATAAATCAAGTGACAACATTTTTAGATGTTTATCAATAAACAAATATAACCATGCACCAGTTTCCTTTAATTCAACAATTATGTGCAAGATGTTGTTTTGTTCCATCTCATAAAAAAACATTTAAAATAAATTGAAGTGTTAGACTTAACTTAAAAACATTTTGAAATAGAATTTCATGACTCTTTAATCCTCTCATTGAACTGATACAGTAAATAAAGCTTTCAGATTCTCTGCCTCCTCCTCTTGGAATACAATTCCAAGCTGAAGCTCTCAAAACTTAAATCAAACTTTTGCTCTATCGTATGAAACCAACATAGGAAATCTGATACTGTAACTATAAGTCATAGTTTTCGTTTGTCAGTTGCTAGCACTCCATACATTTAATTTTTGTCTAACTGTCCGATATTATGTTTGCTACCACTATTCTAGCCCTACTAATCCTTGAGAGAATGGCCTTGATCTCAAGGAGTCTTTTACCTGATTAAATGTACAAAAAGAAATATTACAAGTACATTTAATTTCAATTCAGTTTATTTATATAGCGCCGATTCACAACACATGTCATCTCAAAGCACTTTACAGTTCACCAGATCATACAGTTAAATTGATTCAAAGTTTTCTATCTAAGGAAAAGCAGTTGATTGCATGGACTCATTGACTCGAATGCAATCCCTCACACTATGCATGATTGTAGCGACAGTGGAGTGCAAAAACCAGGCTCAGTGTGGGCTGCCATCAAGCAGCTGTAAAAGGTGGCCCCGTCCGGGAAACACACAGCCAGGCAGACAAGCTCCTAGCCAACTCCCATGTCAGAGGATGAAGAGAGCACATCCAGCCATGCAGTCACAGTCAGAGAAATAGGACTACACTGAAAACCAGGCCGATCTCCAACATCTATGAACAAATGTGGTGTTGATGGCAGCAGCACAGCTGATATTTCTCTCCAGGATGGTGTCCTAGCCAAACAGGAACAGACAAGGCAAAGCTACTATGAGAAAAAGCAGAGAGATCATAATGTTGGAGATTAATCAAAACAAGCAATACAAATAAAGATAAAGCACTATTAAATTATGACCAATTGCTCAGTTTTAGTCATTCTGCAGTATATCCATAGGCAGGAATGGTGTAATGTGTCGCTTAGTTGTTCTGCCTGTTGCTGAACCAGCTCCTTAGACTGCAGCACATTGCGGAGAGGATACAAAAGAAAAACATTGCTCTTGTTT